ATGTCTTTGTTGTCGTGTTGGTTTTCCTCTGTTTTAACGATGTCTTTGTTGTCGTGTTGGTTTTCCTCTGTTTTAACGATGTCTTTGTTGTCGTGTTGTTTTTCCTCTGTTTTAACGATATCTTTGTTGTCGTGTTGGTTTTCCTCTGTTTTGACGATATCTTTGGTGTTCTGTTGTTTTTTCTCTGTTTTAACGATGTCTTTGTTGTCGTGTTGGTTTTCTCTGTTTTAACGATTTCTTTGTTGTCGTTTTGGTTTACTCTGTTTTAACGATGTCTTTGTTGTCGTGTTTGTTTTACACTGTTTTAACAATGTCTTTGTTGTCGTGTTGGTTTTCCTCTGTTTTAACGATGTCTTTGATGTCGTGTTGGTTTTCCTCTGTTTTAACGATGTCTTTGTTGTCGTGTTGGTTTTCCTCTGTTTTAACGATGTCTTTGTTGTCGTGTTGGTTTTCCTCTGTTTTAACGATGTCTTTGTTGTCGTGTTGGTTTTCCTCTGTTTTAACGATATCTTTGCAGTCGTAATGTTTTTCCTCTGTTTTAACGATGTCTTTGTTGTCGTGTTATTTTTCCTCATTTTAACGATGTCTTTGTTGTCGTGTTGGTTTTCCTCTGTTTTAACGATGTCTTTGTTGTCGTGTTGTTTTTCCTCTGTTTGAATGATTTCTTTGTTGTCGTAATGCTTTTTCTCTGTTTGAACGATGTCTTTGTTGTCATGTTGTTTTTCCTCTGTTTTGAAGATGTCTTTGTTGTCGTGTTGGTTTTCCTCTGTTTTAACGATGTCTTTGTTGTCGTGTTGTTTTTCCTCTGTTTTAACGATGTTTTTGTTGTCGTGTTTGTTTTCCTCTGTTTTAACGATTTCTTTGTTGTCGTGTTGGTTTTCTCTGTTTTAACGATGTCTTTGTTGTCGTGTTGGTTTTACTCTGTTTTAACGATGTCTTTGTTGTCGTGTTGGTTTTCCTCTGTTTTAACGATGTCTTTGTTGTCGTGTTGTTTTTCCTCTGTTTTAACGATTTCTTTGATGTCGTGTTGTTTTTCCTCTGTTTTAACGATTTCTTTTTTGTCGTGTTGTTTTTATTATGTTTTAATGATGTCTTTGTTGTAGTGTTGGTTTTCCTCTGTTTTAACGATGTCTTTGTTGTCATGTTTTTTTTTACACTGTTTTAACAATATGCTTGTTGTCGTGTTGGTTTTAATATGTTTCGATGATGTCTTTGTTGTCGTGTTGGTTTCCCTCTGTTTTAACGATGTCTTTGTTGTCGTGTTGGTTTTACTCTGTTTTAACGATATCTTTGTTGTAGTAATGTTTTTCCTCTGTTTTAACGATGTCTTTGGTTATCGTGTTGGATTTACTCTGTTTTAACGATTCCTTTGTTGTCGTGTTGGTTTTCCTCTGTTTTAACGATATGTTTGCCGTGGTAATGTTTTTCCTCTGTTTTAACGATGTCTTTGTTATAGTGTTGGTTTTACTCTGTTTTACCGATATCTTTGATGTCGTGTTGTTTTTCCGCTGTTTTAATGTTTTAACGATGTCTTTGTTGTCGTGTTGGATTTCCTCTGTTTTAACGATGTTTTTGTTGTCGTGTTGGATTTCCTCTGTTTTAACGATGTTTTTGTTGTCGTGTTGGTTTTCCTCTGTTTTAACGATGTTTTTGTTGTCGTGTTGGTTTTCCTCTGTTTTAACGATTCCTTTGTTGTCGTGTTGGTTTTCCTCTGTTTTAAAAATGTCTGTGTTGTCGTGTTGGTTTTCCTCTGTTTTAACGATATGTTTGCCGTGGTAATGTTTTTCCTCTGTTTTAACGATGTCTTTGTTATAGTGTTGGTTTTACTCTGTTTTACCGATATCTTTGATGTCGTGTTGTTTTTCCTCTGTTTTAACGATGTCTTTGTTGTCGTGTTGTTTTTTTTTAACGATGTCTTGTTTTGTTTTTCCTCTGTTTTAACGATGTCTTTGTTGTCGTGATGTCTTTGTTGTCGTGTTGCATCTCTGTTTTAACGATGTCTTTGTTGTCGTGTTGGTTTTAATATGTTTTAATGATGTCTTTGTTGTAGTGTTGGTTTTCCTCTGTTTTAACGATGTCTTTGTTGTCGTGTTTGTTTTCCTCTGTTTTAACGATGTCTTTGTTGTCATGTTGTTTTTCCTCTGTTTTAACGATGTCTTTGTTGTCGTGTTGGTTTTCAGCAGTTTTATCGATTTATTTGATGTCGTGATGTTTTTACTCTGTTTTAAGGATATCTAGTTGTCGTAATGTTTTTCATCTGTTTCAAGGATGTCTTTGTTGTAGTGTTATTTTTCCTCAGTTCTAACGATGTCTTTGTTGTCATCTTATTTTTCCTGAGTTTTAACGATGTCTTTGATGTCGTGTTGGTTTTCCTGTTTTAACGATGTCTTTGTTGTCGTGTTGGTTTTCCTCTGTTTTAACGATGTCTTTGTTGTCATGTTTGTTTTTCTCTGTTTTAACAATGTCTTTGTTGTCGTGTTGGTTTTCCTCTGTTTTAACGATGTCTTTGTTGTCGTGTTGGTTTTCCTCTGTTTTAACGATGTCTTTGTTGTCGTGTTGGTTTTCCTCTGTTTTAACGATGTCTTTGTTGTCGTGTTGGTTTTCCTCTGTTTTAACGATGTCTTTGTTGTCGTGTTGGTTTTCCTCTGTTTTAACGATGTCTTTGTTGTCGTGTTGGTTTTCCTCTGTTTTAACGATGTCTTTGTTGTCGTGTTTGTTTTCCTCTGTTTTAACGATGTCTTTGTTGTCGTGTTGGTTTTACTATGTTTTAACCTTGTCTTTGTTGTCATGTTTGTTTTACAATGTTTTAACGATGTCTTTGTTGTCGTGTTGGTTTTCCTCTGTTTTAACGATGTCTTTGTTGTAGTGTTGGTTTTCCTCTGTTTTAACGATGTCTTTGTTGTCGTGTTTGTTTTCCTCTGTTTTAACGATGTCTTTGTTGTCGTGTTGGTTTTCCTCTGTTTTAACGATGTCTTTGTTGTCGTGTTGGTTTTCCTCTGTTTTAACGATGTCTTTGTTGTCGTGTTGGTTTTCCTCTGTTTTAACGATGTCTTTGCAGTCCTAATGTTTTTCCTCTGTTTTAACGATGTCTTTGTTGTCGTGTTGGTTTTCCTCTGTTTTAACGATGTCTTTGTTGTCGTGTTGGTTTTCCTCTGTTTTAACGATGTCTTTGTTGTCGTGTTGGTTTTCCTCTGTTTTAACGATGTCTTTGTTGTCGTGTTGTTTTTCAACGATATCTTTGATGTCGTGTTGTTTTTCCTCTGTTTTAATGATTTCTTTGTTGTCGTAATGCTTTTTCTCTGTTTTAACGATGTCTTTGTTGTCGTGTTGGTTTTCTCTGTTTTAACGATTTCTTTGATGTCGTGTTGTTTTTCCTCTGTTTTAACGATTTCTTTGTTGTCGTGTTGGTTTTAACGATGTCTTTGTTGTCGTGTTGGTTAGTTTTAACGATGTCTTTGTTATCGTGTTTGTTTTCCTCTGTTTTAACGATGTCTTTGTTGTCGTGTTGTTTTTCCTCTGTTTTAACGATGTCTTTGTTGTCGTGTTGGTTTTCCTCTGTTTTAACGATGTCTTTGTTGTCGTGTTGGTTTTCCTCTGTTGTAACGATGTCTTTGTTGTCGTGTTGTTTTTCCTCTGTTTTAACGATGTCTTTGTTGTCGTGTTGGTTTTCCTCTGTTTTAACGATGTCTTTGTTGTCGTGTTGGTTTTCCTCTGTTGTAACGATGTCTTTGTTGTCGTGTTGTTTTTCCTCATTTTAACGATGTCTTTGTTGTCGTGTTGGTTTTCCTCTGTTTTAACGATGTCTTTGTTGTCGTGTTGGTTTTCCTCTGTTTTAACGATGTCTTTGTTGTCGTGTTGGTTTTCTCTGTTTTAACGTTTTCTTTGTTGTCGTGTTGGTTTTCTCTGTTTTAACGATGTCTTTGTTGTCGTGTTATTTTTCCTCATTTTAACGATGTCTTTGTTTTCATGTTGGTTTTCCTCTGTTTTAACGATGTCTTTGATGTCGTGTTGTTTTTCCTCTGTTTTAACGATGTCTTTGTTGTCATCTTATTTTTCCTGAGTTTTAACGATGTCTTTGATGTCGTGTTGGTTTTCCTGTTTTAACGATGTCTTTGATGTCCTGGTGTGTTTCCTCTGTTTTAACGATATGTTTGATGTCGTGTTGTTTTTCCTCTGTTTTAACGATGTCTTTGTTGTCGTGTTGTTTTTCCTCTGTTTTAACGATGTCTTTGTTGTCGTGTTGGTTTTCCTCTGTTGTAACGATGTCTTTGTTGTCGTGTTGTTTTTCCTCATTTTAACGATGTCTTTGTTGTCATGTTGGTTTTCCTCTGTTTTAACGATTTTGTTTTAACGATTGTTTGTTTTTGTCTCTGTTTTAACGGTGATTAAACATGACACTAATTTACATATTCTAGATATTGATAACAAATTTAATCCGTCCTGGAACACCTCATCTTATTCTCCTTGTTGTCCACAGATTTTTGGTCGAAATTCTCATGCTGTCCACATCGCCCAGATAAGGCGAATTTTTCTTTTTCAATAATTATATATATGTTTATAATGATACAAACGTCTGATTTCCTACCTATAACAAAATATCTTTGCTATTTTTTTTTATCAAGATATAACTTAAAAACGATTTTGTTAGTCAGAATTAATTTTTTTAACTTGCACAGTAATGTAGTAATTTTTTAGAGAATCCGTTACACAAAATTAATTCATTCAATGTATCAAGGGTTTGTAGAATCACCGGGTATTACAGATGAGATGTATTTATTTATGCCGGGAAGGAAATCCGGATTTTAAGCCCGATACCTAGAATTCCTGAACTAAATTAGTTTACGGAGAATGAGTGTTTTACCTTGAGTGAGTGAAATTCCCTCATCCAATGTGCTGTAATAACTGGCTGCTGTACACCAACTTAGCACACGGGCTCTGTGAAGCGCCGCATACACAACGACATAAGGGCTTCATAGAAAACCCTATCGTTAAGTATCGTCACAGGCACAACGGATTAAAATTCAAACAAGTGCAGTGTGACTTAATCATTTCATTTTTTGTTTGGAAAATAATTTGGATCATTTTGTGAAAATTCATAATGCAGTAGATCTTGTTCAATTCAGCACTTTTTGATATCACGAATTTCTGTGATTTCCTGAAGTTACGTGATTGGAATTATGAGCAGGATTTAATTAAGATATTCAGAGGAAAAGGCGAAATTCTGAAAAACTTGTACGGTAAGTAAAGTGTTAGTTTATTAATATTCAATAGTATGTTAATGTTATTTACTCTAATATGCGTGACTTGGATAACAAATTTGAACGAAATATTAAATATAGTGAGTGGACGGGTTGTCATTATCGTAAGTGACATGCGAAAAACGAATAAACCTTTTACAATGGAAAAGTACTAGGTGCTATGACCTGTAATATTAAAACAATAGTATATTTTAGTTGTGTTGTATTTTTAGTGTTATTTGTCGTGTTCACAAATTCTAACCAATATTGAGATAAACGCCCTGTTTCTGTAGTAACTACACAAGTTAGACAGTTTATGTCGAAGCAACGTTCAGCTATATCTGTCTGTCGTATTGTACACTCTTAATGCGATGATTGTAAAGTTCTATTCTGTCGTATCGTCCATTCCTTCATTCTATAATTGTAATATTTCAGTCTGTCATATCGTCCATTTTTTATGCAAACATTGTAAAATTTGTTCCGTCGCGTCGTCCATTCCTAACACAATGAGTGTTATGATCATTTTGCGCCATATTCAACGCGAGCCGTCTGTATTTATCTATATGCACACACATATATATCCAACCGTCCGTTTGCAGAATTTAAACATTGTTTCTAAAGCTTCTTTATTCTTGATAAAGTTACAGTATTATTGGGATAGTAATACATCTTAAAATACATTATGTATGTCTGTCTACTTGTCTATTATAAACATCTAATAAACAGAACGCTATTGCTAAAGAAAACATTTATTTTATCCGCGTGTACTTTGGAATGGTCTGCAATCAAAACCTGGACGTCTGTCTTCTGTCCGATGGCTGTAACAAAGCATTAATGTCCGACAGTCCTAGTAACCTTTAACTGATTTTGTTTTGAAGTTTTCATCCTTCATTGACACCTTACTAAGCTAACGGTTGTGAATATGCATTTGTCGATCTATTGAGGAATTGGCTATTGGCTGTCTAACGTCCACCGCCATTCTTGTAAAGGGTCGCCACAGCGACCAATAGAGGTGTAATACTAATAACGCTGTATCAGCAACTGTACTCTCCTTATCACGGATGTTACAGTAGACTAGGTGATGCTGTACATGTCTCGAGGTTTTCCGGATCTCGGCAGGTCGGCGATCAGTAAAGAAAGACAATGACAGGAAAGAACATGTCCCCTTCCCAAAGGGAAACGGAGGAATAGAGAACTGCTTAGGAAGATCAAATGTAAAGGATATTTATATAACAAATAGATGATAGTATTTATGGGCACTGACCGGGGTTTGTTACAGTTATGACTCTGTGAATACACTTGAATAGAAAGCCAAAATGAAACTGTTCAATTGCTTATATGCTCAAACGATTTTCTGTCAGGGGATTGCAGCAAACATGTAAATGTATTTACAGCACTAACCAACCACTTTTTCATGTAAACCACTTACCATGATAATCTATATCCGATTTATTTCGAATGCGAGAACACACGTTAAATCTAAATTTGAGTACCAAAGTGCAATCATCGACATATTGAAACATTCGATATGATATCGTATGTATAGTAGATATGAATATTTTTCGCAGTATGTATGAATATTTTTCGCAGTATGCATGAATATTTTTCGCAGTATGTATGAATATTTTTCGCAGTATGTATGAATATTTTTCGCAGTATGTATGAATATTTTTCGCAGTATGTATGAATATTTTTAGCAGTATGCATGAATATTTTTCGCAGTATGTATGAATATTTTTCGCAGTATGTATGAATATTTTTCGCAGTATGTATGAATATTTTTCGCAGTATGCATGAATATTTTTCCAATGTTTGGATTGATAGACTAAAGTTTTTTCTGTACAGACGTTGAACTCCAAATGGACTGACTGCTTACGGTTTACGGACAAATCAGAATTCAGAAACTGAAATGTTTTAGAGAAAGTTACTTAGTGAAGGATTTTCTGGAAAAAAACAGAACAATATATTTACTTGTGATACACGTGTTTTGAGTTCTGATATGTTTTATTTATATCTCTGCTGGCTGTAGACATGACAAAAACGAGATCGGGATATGTAACTAAGGCTGTAACTAACCATAGGGTCCCTGTGTTACAGCTCGACGGGTCCAAACTCACCTAGACTGTAACTAACTATAGGGTCCCTGTGTTACAAATCGACGTGTCCAAACTCACATAGGCTGTAACTAACCATAGGGTCCCTGTGTTACAGCTCGACGGGTCCAAACTCACCTAGACTGTAACTAACCATAGGGTCCCTGTGTTACAAATCGACGTGTCCAAACTCACATAGGCTGTAACTAACCATAGGGTCCCTGTGTTACAGCTCGACGGGTCCGAACTCCCCTAGACAGTAACTAATCATACGGTCCCTGTGTAACAAATGGACGGGTCCAAATTCACCTAGACTGTAACTAACCATAGGGTCCCTGTGTTACAAATCGACGTGTCCAAACTCACATAGGCTGTAACTAACCATAGGGTCCCTGTGTTACAGCTCGACGGGTCCGAACTCCCCTAGACAGTAACTAATCATACGGTCCCTGTGTAACAAATGGACGGGTCCAAATTCACCTAGACTGTAACTAACCATAGGGTCCCTGTGTTACAAATCGACGTGTCCAAACTCACATAGGCTGTAACTAACCATAGGGTCCCTGTGTTACAGCTCGACGGGTCCGAACTCCCCTAGACAGTAACTAATCATACGGTCCCTGTGTAACAAATGGACGGGTCCAAATTCACCTAGACTGTAACTAACCATAGGGTGCCTGTGTTACAAATCGACGTGTCCAAACTCACATAGGCTGTAACTAACCATAGGGTCCCTGTGTTACAGCTCGACGGGTCCAAACTTCCCTAGACAGTAACTAATCATACGGTCCTTGTGTAACAAATGGACGGGTCCAAATTCACCTAGACTGTAACTAACCATAGGGTGCCTGTGTTACAAATCGACGTGTCCAAACTCACATAGGCTGTAACTAACCATAGGGTCCCTGTTTAACAAATCGACGTGTCCAAACGCACTTAGACTGTAACTAATTCTCAATTGAATTTTAAAGGCCCGTGATCACCCAGACTGTAACCAGTTATCGTATCCCTGTGATAAACATGGCATTTTAAAGGTCCATGATCACCCAGGCTGTAACAAGTTATCATATCCCTGTGATAAACATGGCATTTTAAAGGTCCATGATCACCCAGACTGTAACAAGTTATCATATCCCTGTGATAAACATAGAATTTTAAAGGTCCGTGATCACCCAGGCTGTAACAAGTTATCATATACCTGTGATAAGTCCCCTGCATATTCGACAGCTGCTGTTAAGATTGATAGGAGGGGGTAATGCACTGTACCTGTATGGATCCTGACAGGACGAACCGGACAGTGATACAGTGGGGCACGTAACCTCTGGTTAAGTTCACCTGTACATACCTGTCATACGAAAATAGTTCACCAACTCATTTATTATAACTGTCGGAATCTGCTAATTGTTAACTGAAATACCTCCATGTTTGTAGCCCGTTCGTCACTTAGCAAGTGATTATTACGTCAGACAAAGAATTAATTTTACCACAATGTTGAACTCTGAGATACTAATGTCTACACGCTTACTACATATATTTAAAGGCTTCTTGATATCATGTTTTTCCATTTAGGACACTTTCTTTTATTTTATTAACGACTTTTGTCAAAAAACTTAATTTTCACATTCCTCTTGTCAAGAATATTGCTTGCAAAAATGAGTTCAGATTTTGAAGTGTAGCTGAAGGCTTAAGTAGGAATTTTCTACCGAAGGTGTATATAGGTGTTAGGGTGAGGGATTGAAATTAACGCATCATTGTGTTTATTTTTTGCAATGTCCATAACCTCCATAAATGTTGACGAAAATCACCATTTAGATAAGCTATCTGGAATATCAATAGATAGGAAAGTAATTTGACTCGTCAAAAAAATGGTCCTTATTGATGTTCGAGGATTTGATAGAAAAAAACATATCTTCCTCTATTATGATAAATAGGGGATTGGAGACAAGCTATACTTAGTTACAAATCAAACTGCGAATGTTTAACAGCTTATTGTAAAATTCCCGTCGATTTCTTTTTCAACATAATCTTTGTGAAATGAAATGATTATTTCATTTGATTTCACCATCACAATCACCCTTTTACTTCCAACAACTTCTTCACCCTCACAACCACCCTTTTACCTCCAACAACCTCTTCACCCCACAATTACCCTATCGCCCCAAGAATCACCTCACACCTACAACAGTCCCATGACTGCCAACCATCTTCTTGCCCCCATACACCCACCCAGTCATCCCGAACCATCCCTAGTCCCTACACTCACCCCGTCATCCCGAACCATCCCTCACACCTACACTCACCCCGTCATCCCCAACCATCCTTACCCCATACACCCACACCGTCACACCGAACCATCCCTAGCCCCTACACTCACCCCGTCATTACGAACCATCCCTCACACCTACCGACCCCGTCATCCCCATCCATTCATAACCCCTACACCCACCCCGTCACCCCGAACCATCCCTAGTCCCTACACTCACCCCGTCATCCCGAACCATCCCTCACACCTACACTCACCCCGTCATCCACAACCATCCTTACCCCATACACCCACACCGCCACCCCGAATCATCCCTAACCCCTACACTCACCCCGTCATCCCCAACCATTCACAACCCCTACACCCAACCCGTCATCCCCAACCATCCCTCACACCTTCACTTACCCCGTCATCCTCAATCATCCTTACCCCATACACCCACACCGTCACCCAGAACCATCCCTAGCCCCATACACCCACACCGTCACCCCCAACCATTCCTCACCTCCACATTTCATAGTTATATATCAAATGATATTGGATCTAGACTGTAACTAACTCTCGAGTGCCAGAGTGTTTACCACGGTGTATCTTTATCATTAACGAAACTCCATTAGAAAATATGAATATTTTTGTAGATTCAT